TTTTGATTTTGGGATCTTGTTTTGCTGTCAAGCCTTTTATTTGTTGTAGCCGGCTGTAAATTTTGGCCTTGATTGGAGAAACAGTTGGTGGAGGCGGCGCAACAACTTGGCTATGGTGGAAGCCTATTGTATTGCTAATGAAATCAATTGTGCAAATTTCAACAGGTTTTGGTGCCAAAGATAGATGTTAAAAGTAACTGCCTATCATTGTTTTCATTGATTTCTAGGCTACAAATCTTTTGAAGGGGACTTCATCCAAGTACATCATAGATATGGGTTCGTAAAGGTGGAATAAGATAAGTCAAAAACTTTGAGAGTTGAAACCAACTCCCTTCGAGCTAGTATATGGTGGGGTACCACACTCTCTTCATGATAGTTTTTCAATGGATTAAGAAGAGCAATTGGTAAGTGGAACTGTTATCAAGCTAAATACTTGCTTCTACTAAAAAGTTAATATATATAGCAGTTAAGGATGTCCAGGTTTAGGATACTTCCATTGATTTTTTTTTTTTTTATTTGTAGCTTTATGCCTTTATATATATTTTTTGGTACATAAGAAACTAAATTATAGTCTAAGATCTAAGGAACATAGTCCCAATAGTGTCTCCATGCATGATCATATTGATCCTGACAAGTGGATTCCAATAAAAAGTGGTACCCAAGGGGGATTTGTGATTCCCTTGGCGAAGCGTACGGCGGACAACACGGTGCTGAAAGCATCAAATAGCACAAGAATATTAGAAAGCAAGACAGAGACCCTTCTCTACTTAATTTTTAATGCTTTTATGGCAATCTGTAGGTGCAAGTAATTCTATATACTTAATTATTTATATTCATCATGTATATAGTTTAATTAAGTTAGTATCTAATATGCAATATGATGTACTTATGTTTTGACCGTACATGTAGTGGTACTTTAGGGATTTGTTTTGCTAAAATTTAGTAACAAGCACTACACTAGTCGTACTTAAGTAATAAAGCAATGAGAAGAGTGTTAAACTCACAAGTATTGTGATTAAGTACAACATAATTAATCCTAAATTTATTCAAACAATTGAGAAAGGGAAGAATTTCTAATTAAAATTTTTTAATATATGAGGCATTAAAACATATGAATTCACCATATATAATCAATCAACATAGGTTTTAGATTATTTTGTTTTTACGATATTTATTATATATGTGATAACAAGATTTATTATTTTATTTGATATATTTTCTCAAGTTATACCCAATATTTTTTCACTTATTAACCCATTATATTTCTATATGAATTTAAATAAATAAAAATATATTAGATTCTGTTAAATTTCTTTGTTTGTAAAGAAACTTTTGAGTCTCCTTATCACTGTTATACACAAATTGATCCATCTTTGACTTTTTTTCAATTCATAGTAATTAGAATATTACATAAAAACTCCTCTCAATTTCAATTGTACTCTCCATGTCAATTTTAGTAGTGATCAAGTATTAGAAAGCATTAAGAATAATAACCATAATAACCATAAAAACTCATATCAAATTGATTAGATTACATCGTAATTATAGTTAACTAAATTAGTTTATAATAAAAATATTAGAATATAAATTCATAATTATACATCAAGAATCCATGGCAAAACAAAGAATAAAATTCAAGAAAAACAAAATCCATTTAAGGATTTTATTTTCTCAATCATTTATTATTGATAAATTATTATCATCTTTAATTTAGATTTAGTTTAACAATGCTAATATGTAATTGCAGATATAGATTTTTTGGTCTTTTAACATCCTAAAAATATATAAAATATATTTTATATATTTAATATTTATTTTAATTAATATTTTGTATATTTTTAAAATAATAAAAAGATATTAAAATATTTATTTTAATTAATATTTTGAATATTTTTATATTTTTTAAAAATAAAAAGATATTAATTAATGTAATAAAAAGAAGTGTTATAAGATGAAGCCCCAGTAGAATTCCGAAAAAACTCTCAAAGAGTTCCCACTTCCAAAAAGAACTCCAGGAAGCTTCTTAAAAACCTAATCTTGAACGGGTATTTACAATTATAGGTTTTTAAAAATCTAAAATAGAACATAAGTGAAATCCACACGAAAACAATGAGGACAAGGCGAAGATGTACTGAAAATTGCCCTAGGGGTCAATACCATAAATTAATATGCCATATACGTTTAACAAATGCCATGAGACTAAAGGAGTCAACAACATACCAGTATATGTATCAGTTTTGCTATTGAAACGGTACATATCGGATATTAGAATTTTTCACGTACTATTTCAGATTTATTGCTATAAATATATATTTTTATAAATTAAATATCAAATTTTAAAATAATTATAAAAAAAGCTAATGTTTAAAAATATTATTTTCTTATAAATTAAAAACAAGTTTAAAATGACCAACTTTATAAAATATCTATAATTTTTTTCTTTTTTTTAGAACATTAATATAATATTAGGAAGTATATCAGTGTTCTAGGTTTAATATCATACAATTTGCAATACAAAATATTTTCACAAGGGAAGAAATCATGTTTTTTAAGTATAACAAAAATACAAAAAGGCATAAAAAGAAATTAATGAGACTCATGCTCTAAAAACCAAAAGAAAACACTTACCAAAATATGCTTTGAAACAGAGATATAAGTCTATTGTTGTTGCTTAGAAAGTGGAAGAAATAGAGTTGGAACTTGGAAGAGAAAGCAGCGATAGCATCCATCGGTGAGCACTGAGGAAGGAGAACTAGAAATATGAAATTGTAAGGGTTTTTGTTATTTAAGTCTCCAGTCAAAATGATGTTGTTTTGGTTGGAATTTTTTATTTTTAAATTGAATATATTTGTACCGGTTGAGTTTTGGTGTACCAGTCAGCACACAAAATATTGGTTAGTATACCAAAAATTGACCAAAACTATCAAAATTTGACCAAAACATAATTTAAACTTATACCATTTTAGATTAACTGAAAAAACAGTATATACCAATCGTACTGGCCAATATAAAATAGTATTAACTTCTTTCAATGAAATTAGGCTGTCAGAAAATTTGGGACAAAATGAAATTTCGTCACTTTGATCCTCATAATTTTGATTTCTTTAATTGGTCCTAAAAGTTATAATTTCTACCAATTAAGTCATTTGTTGCATAATGAATGAAAATTATGTAAATTCAAGTAAAATCTCAAGAATCTCATCCAAATATTAATAATATCAAGATAAAAATTTCACATTAATATCTATGATATTTGAACCTATTAGGATTCATACGTAATTTTTATTTTATTTACTTTAATATGATCTCTATTTATTATTGTTAAGGGTCAAATTTGACAAACAAAAGAGGCAAGTCCATATCATTGTCCACATCAAATTCTCAGTGCAAATCCTAAGTAACAAGAGGGTAGTAAACAATATATCACTATCACCCCACTAGAACAGCAAGCCTAAGAAGGACAAACCCATTGATAGAGAACATACAAGGTTTCCACCATTGTGGGCAAAAAGCCATGGTCTCCACCATTGTAGGCAAAAGATGGAGTTTTAGAAGGCATTGTCTCCTTCACAAGATTTAAAATTTATCAAAGAGATGGGTTATCCTTTGGTGGTCACCTTGTGCATGGTCATGTAGTGCCTAGTAGATGAAAGAACAAGGACTACCCTTTGACAAAGTGATATCAATATCGAGCTCCCACCATTTGTAAATAATAGGCCATATTCCTAGAAGAATTCCTATTAATCATGGACAAAGGATTCTTGCCACAATAGCCTATTGTTATTGATACAAACAATGGGTTTACATATATTTCAGTCTATTAGAACTCCCATTAATCATGGACAAAGGGTTCTTGTCATAACAGCCCCACACCATTAATACAAACAATGGGCTTACATGTGTTTCGGTAATATGGAGCTTCCATTAATCATGGGCAAAGGGTCCTTGTCACAATAGTTCCTCGTCATAGATATAGATAATAATCTACTATACTTCCAGGTCGTATATGATGGACAATAGACCTAATTCAAGAAGGCATTGATTCCCTCGCCAAAGCAGAAGCTTGACAAAGAGGTGGGCCACATCTTTGCAATCGTCAATATTAACGAAGTGAGATCTACGTATCCTCAAACAAAACATTGACATAGATATGACTACCATTGACCATCCCCATGAACAATTTGAGCAATAAATCTGATAAAGGAAAAACATAGTGATAGAAATGTTGGACATTCTTATCATTAGCCAAGTTGTTGTTGCTACCATATCTCTAGATTTGATCATCAAAACAACCCAACAATTTGACAATCGAAAAATTGATGCATCACTGAGTGTTGGTTGAGATCCCATGTTTAACACAAACTGTTACTATTTATGGTTTACAAAAGTTTGACAAGAGTCATTATCATTCATGATTGGCAAGGTTTTAGCCAAACAACTCACTAGTCTTCACTTGCCACTAGTGGATCCAATGGTAGAAAATCAATGCCGACACAAAGGTTGTCATTCTACGGCAATAGTCATCAACAATAGTAGTAGCACCTATTGACAAACTTATAATAGAGTTTGCTTGTCATTCATAACTCGTCAAAATATTTTATTCTTATAATACATTGCACCTAATAGAAAATATGCCAAAGTGTAGGTTGTCAAACTTGTGGAACCAAGCCCAAAAGAATAATGAGAAAGATTATAGGAATAGTGGTGAGGAAGGTAGGGAATGATAAGTCTTACCTCGTTGTCAAAATAGTATGTTAGTGTGGTCAAGCTTGGTGCTACCCTTGTCAACCCCAAACCTAGGAGAAAATAAGGGAGTGAACCATTGTCCAAAGTGGTTTGACTTGCCTAATAAAACCACTATACAAAACCATGGATTCACAACCCCAACATTGACTTTACTAAAAGTGTTTTTTGTTTTGTAGCCAAATGAGGTTAAGTCTTCTTCTACTTTACTAATATCAAACTTTTAGTTAAAATGCCCCATTGTCCAACAGGTAAAATGAGGGGTGTAATGAGGTTTATAGATGATAAACACATGTCCTTGTCCAACATAAGATACCCATCCGATAGCCTTAGATAAGCTTACTTCATAAAATTACAAAATCACCCCTCAGTACTATAAATACCATTGTCTTCCATTTTTTCACATCTTTACTTAGATTTTGCAATTTTAATGTTTTGAGAACTAGAGATTTTCTCTTACTAGTTGCAGTAACTTTCTCTCTTGAAGTCCACTTAGTTCCTCCCATTTTAACCTAAAAGCACTCTTTAAATTCACAAAATACTCCACTAAAGTTGTAGATCTCATCAAAACCTACAAGATGATGGTCTCCAACTTGTGATTGTCCTTCTCTTTTAGGCTATTTTGGCACAAGTTTAATTGTTGCCACCAAAAAGGAAAATATGTGTCATCTTCTTCTTCATGAAGTGAGCTCCCATGGTGTTAACCCACTGATAAAGACGGCACCTTCACATTGAGGGCAAGCTTTTCAAATTTGTCACTCATTCTCCCATCCATCTCTTTGTAATTCTCTCTTTTCTACTGATGTATATGAAAGATTTAACAAAAAATTAAAGAAGTGTGTGTTACCATGTATGGAATGAGATGAATATGTATTTTTCTTTCATTTCTTTGATCTCTTTTTGACAACCATCACATATTTTTCCGAAAATGGAGTTGCCATTATTCTATTAGAATTGCAGAATTTGTTAGCTTTTGGGTGACCACAATGACAAAGTTTTGGCAAGATCCCTCTTCTATCACCTATTAGTGAAATGGTGTCTATCAGTCAACTAGCCATGGTGTCAAAACCCAATTTTTATCAGGGGCTAAATGATAAAATTAGAGGTCAATGGACCATTTCTATAAAAAATTGAAAACTTGAAGGGTTGAAAGGATGAAATGGCAAAACGACATTGTTTTGCCAATGGGTTAAAATAAAAAATAAAAGGCTGGAGTTTCAGTTGAACCTTAGCCTCTCCTGTTTGTTCTTGCTGCACCTCCTTTCTCAAATTTTCTTTTTTTTTTTTTTTTATCAACTTCAGTTTGGGTGAATCATGATGCCAAAGGAGATCTCTTCGAAGCCAAGCTCAACCAATTGAAGGATTTGGATAAAACCTACAAATCGTAAGTCATCAACTACAAGGAGTCCAAAATTGATTCAAGGTGGGAGTCCTAATGCATAAAAGGTATGAATCTTGACTTGAAGGGTAAATGTGTGAAAAACTAAGAATTCCCATTCTAAATAGGATTGAGTTATTATCTTAGGGATTTGGATTAGATATTAGAAGCACATTAGGATTGGGTTTTTCATCCTCCTTCTATAAAAGGAGGCAACAAAAAATTGCAGAGGTTGAGAGATTGAGAGAGAGGTAGAGAGGAGGAATTTGGAAGGAAAAAAACCAAAAAGAGTGACAAAAAATAGAAGGGAAAATATAGAAGCTTGTATCTAGAACTTCAAGAAAATAAAGTTTTGATTTTTCCTATCTTCTTCAGTTGTTCTTTGTTCATAATTTATTTTTATTTAATTTCTGTGTTTCTATTTTGCCATATATTAATCATTATACTGTTGGTTTGGATTTGTTTATAAATTTTTGTGAATTTTCTTTTGCCCAATAATAATAGGAATTTGTCATCAAGATCTATGTGTTCCATTATTCTATGGGTATGACTGAAAGTTTAACCTAAAGAAAAAAAAAATAGAATGAAGTTTCTTTCGTTCTCACAATAGCATATAGGATTCTTTTAAAATGATGCATAGAATTTAGAAAAGTAAAATGGGAAGGTGGGAAATAAAGGGTGATTAAGGACATATGGATTTAATTTCTAATGTTTACTGTTGTTGAATTTTTTTTAAAGTTTTGTTGGATTGAGGATGAAGCTTCAATAAAATTGAAAACTAAATAAATGAATATGTATAGGAAACTTTCTAATTTAGTTAGGTTTTGTAATTAGGAGCAATTGGTGTTTCTTGTAGTGCTTGCTGATTTTTTTTTTTTTTTTGGATTTTTGGACGTGGTTGATGGTTTTGCATTTTATCAATGGTGCCACGTGGGAATTTTTGGTTTAGGCTAAAATTTGTTTATAGGCTTGTCACTCAAAGAAAATGCAGTGAAATATTAAAAAGGAAATTGGTGTAATCAAAATTTAAAATATTTATTTATTCTTTATTAATTAAATTTTCTTTTCTTTGCTTAAATTGATTGGATTCTTTTTTCTTTTTTTTTTCGTCATCTTATTATGAATTGAAAATTCCCCAAATTTAAAGTATATGGTAACCATATTAAATGGAAATTGTGGGGTGCCTAACACTTTCACCATACTTAACCAACCCTTCTATCTTAGTCAATTTCTATGCAGACTTTGATGATCTATCCTACCTCATTTAGATAGATGGCAACTCCATCCATTTTGGCGACTCCACTAGGGACATTGAGGGGTCAAGCCATTTATACTTTAATTTTGGGGTTTTTTTTTCTATTTTGTAACTTTTGTTTTGCACTTGGCATGGAGTACCTTGTAAGTTTTTTTTATTTTGTTATTTTATTGAATATTTTTGTTTTTTTTCTTTATGTTAATATTATGTGTATACTCCCTCACACACCTCACTTGCATATCAATTTGTTCTTAACGAGGTGAATCAGACCTCTAGGTAGATGGATAACTCATGGAACAATGTAAAGCGCAAATGCATTCTTTGTGAAATGGGATTTATCTCTTTCAGGTTCATTTTGTGGGTTAATATTGCTTATCAACCATAGTGCTACTGTTGTATTAGATTATAAAATGCATCTTGTTGACTTTATGGGAGTTAATAGTTGTTAACTTCATAAGAGTTAGTAGTTGAAAAAGCCTGATCGTTTAAGATCCACTAGGAAATTGGATGTAATGGACTTAGATAAAAATTAACCATAGGACGACCAGCCTAGTAAACCACCTTTAAAGTTTAAGAACCCTATACATAGGGCATGTAGGGAGTATTTTATTATAATGTTCTTGTGTTTCTTAGGTAAGGGATTCGACAAATAGCTATGACATTTATTGCTTCTCCTTTTTCTTTTAATAAATAGGTAATTAACTATTTTACACATGAATTCTTTGGAGAAAAAGGATAGTAAGGGAACAAGGGTGAATTTAGAGCTAGAATGTCCATTGTTATCCAAGAAGAACAAGTCACACAAGGATGAATTCTCTGTGTAGACCAAAAAACCTTGTGTAAAGGACTTGGTTGCTGCTTGGAATAGTCTAAGCAATCTTGACAAAGTGAGGTTTGATAAGAAATTTGGAAGAATAGCTAATGTATTGCAAGTAGAGCCAAACTCGAAAATCATTAGGGCAATCCTAAGATTTTATGCCCCACATCTTTGCCGCTTCGTTTTTCCTGAGTTTAAGTTGGTACCCACCATTGAAGAATATCTTCAGTTATTGTTCAGTCACCTAGCAATGAGTTTAGGAATTTATGTTCTAGATCATGTTAACTTCCAATTAAATAAGTTGCAATTTCAATCTATGCTGCAAAAGACTTTGAACTTTCCTTTAGAGTTCATAGAGAATTGCATTATAAAGAGAAATGATGTATGTGGGGTTAATTGGAACATGATGTATTCAAAATTGAAGTCTGATCTAAATTCTTTTTAAGGATCACTTGAATTTTGTTGCTTTGGGTATTTTTGGAATGGTTACTTTGCCCACTAATATGGAGGTTATCAGTTCATCTGTTGTAGCCATGTTTGAGTAGCTAATCAAGAATCTAAATTTTAATGTTGCTCCTATTTTAATTGTTGAAACTTTTCGTGATGCTGATTATATCAAAACTTATGGGAAGGGTAGATTCACATGTTTTGATGCTTTATTTACAATATGGATTCATGCACATTTATCAAAGATAAGTTTCTCCCCAATTAAGGAGTTTGGAATTTACAAAAAAAGAATCAATTGGAAAACAAAATGGTTGATCGGTGGCATTAACAATTCTTGAATTTGAAATCTGAATGCCTTCGCTAGATCTAACAAATGCGCCTAAATTGTGCCAACTTCAAAGTTTATACTCTCGGCATTGTCAATGGTGCCTTTACACAAATAAAAGAAATCCTCATCCATCTTGGAGAAAGAAGTTACCTCTATGTGTTACATGGTTGTGCAAAGATTCACAAAGATATCTTCGATCTTCACCTTCTTAGCTTTGTTGTGCATGATCAGGTCTAGAATGATATCCAAGAGGTGGTGTGCCCATGTCTTTAGCATTGGGTGCACTTTGAACTTACCCATTGGTCGAACATCGCTAGTAGGCACAAGGACAAATTAAGCCAACGATACATCCCTATCTTTATTCATTACGTTCAAGTCCTTGAGCAATTTTACAGCAAAGTTGTCAACCTCACTTAACTTAGCTAGGACCAAGGATAGTTTACCACCATACACAACTGCATTGGAACTAACAACCTTTCCTACTCCACTCAGGGTTGGCTTATCGATGTCTATTTTGTCTTTGTTGTGAGTTGGCTCCTTCAAAGTGTTGTCCACATCTGACTCAACCTCCTTGGTCGCAGCCTTATTTATGTTTATGTATTGATGAAGCCATCATTTTCATCTTCATGCTTATAGTTGATGAGTTTAATTTTTATATGCATTTATCTACCCTTTTTGAGCCTAGAATTAAATTTTATGGGTTTTTTGTAACTTAGTTTCACCTTTGTTTATATTAAATTCATTATTTGTGGGTGGAAATTAAGATAGGATTTAATTTTGTAATAAGTGACAATTTGCACATGCTGTAGTAATTTAACCATATCTTTTTCTCTAGGTATCGGATTGAGATGATTCTTTAGGCGTTGGAAAGCTAAGAGGCAGAGCTACAATTGATGTTTTATGAGCTTAACCCAGTTCTAGCTGTATCAATACAGATTTTTGGTTGAAAGTGACGGTTTTGAATGAACAGAATGCAGAAATAAAGAGAATTGGGTTGTGTTTTATAAGTGTGGGCCAACTGCAGTCCAGGCCCAAACTAAAGCCCATTACTCATGTCTGCTAGGGTTAAAAGAAATAAGGGTTTTAATTTCTGGAGAGATATAATATGCTAGTCGGCAGAACAGAAGGGGGAGCCGTTGTTCTGCGCAACAGCACCCAGCCGTACATCCCAGCCACCCACATCTGTTGTTCACCAGAGAAGAAGAGGACAGCCATAAGTGTGGGCCAACTGCAGTCCAGGCCCAAACTAAAGCCCATTACTCATGTCTGCTAGGGTTAAAAGAAATAAGGGTTTTAATTTCTGGAGAGAGATATAATATGCTAGTCGGCAGAACAGAAGGGGGAGCCACACAGACGCGAGAGGAGTTGTTCTGCACATTGGAAGAGAAGCCGTCCAGCCGCCCAGCCTTCTTGCCATCCGCATCTGTTGTTCACCAGCAGCAGAAGAAGACACAGAACCGCACAAATCTGCTCTGCGAATTGAGAACGCAAGAACCAATTCCGTTTGCAGAAGAGCCACGCTGCCGCCCAGCCTTCTTGGGAGATCCCGACCACAGCACACCATTCGGCAAACTGCAATTCTTCATTGTTTGGGTTTTGTTGTTTTTGAACTTTTTATTATGAATTTCTACTGGGATTTATTTTTCATGGTGGTTGAAAACATATACATGTGTGGCTAGAATTCTTTGAACTAGGGATGGATGGATTTTAATTTTTGGAATATGTGACTATTTTTGTTAGTTTAATTCAAGATTTATTGGTTATTTGCATGATGAGTTTATATTATTGAGTTTAATGCATTGAGAGCCTGATCACCTTTCAATTGATTTAGTGATTTATGCATGAACTTGAGAAAGAATTGCATAGATTAGACCAATACTAATATAAACCGTGTGCTAGACTATGAGATCGAGAGGTAATTAGCTCACATGTGGTAGTGGAGGAAGAGAAGAGAGTTAGTAGCTCCCCCTTCTTAACCTAGAGGTTTCCATAGAATTTAATGCTCATTAGTTTGTTTAAAATTACATAGAGATATGATTAATTTAGCAAACAAATGAAGGATTAGCTTGACTTGAGAAAGCTGGTTAATTAATTTAGGGAAATCCGCCATCTCATGCAATAACACTATTATTTGAACTTGAATTAAATTAATGGAACAGTTGCATAATTCAGAATTAAATGAAATCCAAACCCTGGTTCTTTCTCATTCATAGTTTCTTTAACTTAGAAAATTCTTTAGTTTAGTTTTCTTTAGTTTAGTTTTCTTTAGTCGACTTAGTTTTCTTTTAAATAGTTTAGTCTTTTCCCATTAATTGATTAATTCAACTTAGGTTAGATTAATAGGGTCTTGGTAGTGTAGGATAGTCTTCGAGGGAACGATATCTTACTCATCTTATACTGCATAATCGATTAGGTTCACTTGCCTAAAATTAGTGCGTATTTGGTGCATCAATAGTCATGCTTACCCTTCGATGCTTTGTCACTGTTGGTAAACTCATCATTACTATCTTCGTTGGAGTTAGAACCAACCTCTTCAACAACCTTTTTGCCTTTGCCTACATTAGTAGCAAATGGAGCCTTGGCCTTATCTTTGTTAGCATCTGGCAAGGCAAACAAAAGGCAGCTGGTCAGCAAAAAATTTTATTATCAAGATACCTAAACTATGCAACATATTTCTTGCCATCTATGGTACCTTTCTCAACAATGGTAGTGTTAGTGCTCTTTTTAGTTGAAAGCTTTCTTGGGACTAGGACAACATCACTAGCTCTGAAAAGAGACGACTTATTGGGCTTGCATGGCTATATACATTAAAAAAAAAAATGGCAAGTAAGAAATGCAATAGCCCTAGCAATGGCAAAGATGTTCTTTGGCTACCATAAAAGTAAAGAAGTGTATACCTTTATCACAACCTTTTCCAATCGAGCTCATGTTGTTCCGAACTTCTTCGCTAAACTAAGAGTACCATACAAGACCCTCACACCTCCCTTTGTTTACATTTGAATAAAGATGAGGAATTATGAAGTTAGCAAAAAAATTTGTATACATGCTCCAACATTTTTTAGCTCTGACTCTTTGATTATAGAGGATATTTGCAAGATGGATATGACTTACTGTGGTGGATTTCTATGGCAAAGTTGCACTTGCATTGGTCCTTTTCTTTGTCGTGTCGATTGTAAAAGACATGGGATCATCCTAATCAACGATATTGTCAATCAAGTTAAGTATATCATCAGGAAATGGAGACTCACCTTCTTCGCTGACTAAGACCTTGTGGTGAACTTTAGGCTTCACTAGAGCTTCCTCTATGTGCCTCTACTTCCTTGGCCTTCTTAGACTTGGACTAAGCTTTATCATCACCAGGAACAAGGATAAGGCCAAGACCAATGCTGGAAGCTGATGATTATCCCTATAAGTATTAACACATATATGTGTAAAGGTTTAGTGATGTCAACAATGATCAAGAACTTGAATTGGGCACATAAAAAGGAGTTCAGCAATATGCATACCTGGTGTGAGATAATCAAGTCATAATATTTCGCACCTAAGTTCTTCCCACCACAAATGGGCCTAAGTCTCTTGATATGCTCAATCACCTCTAGATCTAGATCACCCCAAGAGCTATGTTCACTATCAATATCTTTGCTCTTTTCGTTTTCGTTGAGGGCTTTTGCTTTGGAAGGCATGGGTGCCTTAATCTTGCTCTGCTTACCTACTAGCAAAGTGACAGACTTGCATGCTCTACTTTTAGGTGGCTGGGCTACACTCTTTGTCTTGCCTAAGACTGGTTTATTTGAAGAGATGACTTGGTTGGTCTCTCCTACAATATTACATAAAAAAAAAAATGGAGAAGTTTACTTACCTTTAACATCAACATCACCCCAACACCTTTATTTTGGCCATGTTCTTCCTTCACAACACCAAGAACAAGCAAACATATGGTGCACATTTCCCATCATCTTTTTTGGTCAAGAAACCCCAAGAATGCTTCTTGCAATAACTCAAGAGATAATTGTTACACACAAAAAGACGATCACAATTACATGAAGTAGAATCATATGCAACAACTTCTAATGATGATTGAACAAAGGCACTAAACTTTTTCAACAATGTTTCCCAATACTTAAACATAAGTGATGACATGGTTGATACTCTAGAAAGGGTAAAACATTTAAGTGTAGTTACATTTTTGTCCCACATGGCTACAGCAACCTCAGCAACATAAGGTCTCGTGGCCATGTTCTAATCCGAGCTATCCGAAAAAAGAGATGGGGGTATGTCTTAATCATGGCCAAACCGTATGTGATGCATGGCAACATAGATGGTGTAATCACAACAAAAATGTAATACCCCAAATTTTTAGCACTCATGTGGAATAATTAATTAACTAATTAATTCAATTAGGTATAAGATGACTAATATAAAAAGGAATTTTAATAGGGGACCAAGTTGTCTAACTCTTCAATCTTGGGGGACCTTAGTAGCAAAAAAAAAGGAGAGAGGGGGAGCATGAATAGATTAAAGGGGAAGCAAAACCTAATTTCCTTTTTGGGGTCTTCTTTTTTTTTTTCTTTTTCTGGTCTTCCTCTCCTATTCCATCCTTAATTCAAAACCCTTGAAGCCGTCAATCTCCTAGTCTCTCTCTGATGTTGCTTCTTCTCATCAAGATCGCTACTTTTTGTTCTTCTTTCCTTGTTCGTGATTTGAATGCCCAATGGGTGCTCCTTCTGCACTTTCTAGTAAGAAATTAGCCACATGGCGCATCTTTTCATCTTTTATTTGAATTGGGTTAACCCTAAACCTTTAAGGTTTTCAAATTTGGGAATTTTTTGTAGATTCCTCCTTGATTTTGCGCTTAATCTAGCACCACCAGAATCTGGTTCCTATTTTTGTTAGAAATTCTGACAACATAACCTTGGAGTAGTATTTTGCCCATAACTCTTTCTGTAAATATTCGATTGAGTTCATTGTTGAATCTGTAGAAAGTTATGAGATAGCCCTACAATTTATCAGTTGCACATTTAACCTAGTTAAGCTGTTTTCATGGTGAAAACTCTGCTACAATTTTTGTTTTTCGAAAGCAGATAGAATTGACAGTCCGATCTTATATTATTATTTTGAGCATAACTTTCATTGTAGATGTCAAATTAAGGTGATTTTTTATCCTATAGAACGCTAAGACATTAGGCTATAATTTATTTGTTAACCATTCAGCCCAAATTGGTCAATTTCTGGGCACACATTCTGCTGAAACTTTCAATTCAAAATTTGACTAGAACTTTCCTAGAAATTTGTTCTATTTTCTGCTCAATTCTCACATTATTTTTTGCCACATCACATCATGGTTTTAGTTGACTTTTAGCTGCTATTTTTCTACTCTAAAATCCCTCATTATTGCTTTGTTTTGGCTGCCTTTTTGCTACTACATTTTTGCTTGAATGCTACCCAGTTTTGGCTTGTATTCTACCCTATTTTGCTGCTATCTTTTTGCTTAGAAAATCCCTATTGTTCAGACCTTTTTCCAAGCATTTTGGGATTGCTTTAAATGGTAGAAACCCTCACCTTGCTACCCAATATTTCTGCTGGTGTCTAAGATAGTTTTAACATGGTTTCTCACATTTTTCCATCTTATTCTACCTAGAAAATTTGTTTGGAATACCTACTATTTAGTGTGACATTTGGAACTGCTTTAAGCCTATTCTAAGTATTCATTTGATGTGGTATAGGTTCTAAATCATCTCAACAGCCTTGAGTTCTTGAATTCTTACTTGTTTTATACCTGCAAAGCGAGGTAAGTAAAACTATGATAAATACCCTTGGATTTTAAGGTAAAGGTTTTAAAAGCATAATTTTGAACTGTTTTTGAAGTGATGGTGGGACTAAACCCATTTTACACAAAAACGAGCATGATTGGTTTAAAATAAAGTTATCATTTATTAATTTGAGCATGCTGATCAACCTAAATTCCATACAATTATACATGGCTTTTTAGTCATGAATTGCAGTCTTCGATATTTTATTGGAATGATTTTATTTGGTTTTACATTGCTTTTATCATTCTGTGTAGGTAGAGGTTAAAACTAAAGAAATTTAAAGTAAATGGGCTGAAGTGACAAAAGTTGAAAACATCAGGACTGATTCCATTATTTCCCTATTTGAAGACTAGAATTGAATTTTTTTTTTCCATACACGTGGGCACAACATTGTGGGTTTTATCTTATTGCGGAGATGAGATGGGCTTTCTAAAGAAGGGCACATGGTTTTCTAAAGAAAGGCACATGGTTGGATATAAAAAGGGAGGAGGCCAGCAGAACTAAAGAGGGGATTTTGGAGGCAGACCAAGCAAGACTTTCGAGCGGTTGACTACAAAAATCGAGAAGCAGCCAATAGAGACGAAAAGGATTTACGAGGCAAAACCAAGGGGGATTGTTGCATGGGTGACGAGGGAACTAAGGGCAGCCACAGAGGGGATTTAATTCGAAAAAGAGGACGAGCGCGATAGTGAAGGCTACAAATCTAATTCTAATTATCCAAAAATTGGGTTTTTGCTCTTCTACACTTACTTTCTCCTTTGTTGGATATGGAATTTTGGTTCATCAATTTAATCTCAGATTTTATCATATTTAGTATGAAACTAATTCAGCCATCTAAGACTACAATCTAGCTTGATTAATTTAATATAGAATTTCATATTTTTGTACTTTCAAGGGGTATTATTTTATGTAGAGTATATATTATCATTCTTAATGCTTTTTAATGATTGGCTACCATTAAAATTGATTTGGAGAGCATAATTGAGACCGAGATGAGATTTTATGCAATAACTTCTAGTAATATATACCATGAACTGAATGAAAGCCAGAGATGGACCAATGTGATTGGTGCAGCATTAGTGATAAGTGGACTTAATTTTTTATGTAAACTAGGGAATTTCATGGAACATAATGCATCTTTATCTATTTAAATTCACATAAAGATATAGTGGGTTAATAGGTGAAGATAAGTTTGGTATAACTTGAGAAAGTATATCAAATAGGATAGGATATCCCGCTGTCACATAAATAATAAATACCTTAGAAGTATATTAATCTAAATTCTATATTAGTTGATTATGGTGAAATCGGACGCCTTAGAATTTTAATTCTTGGTGTTACTCAAGTTCAATTTCGTTTTTCTTTAATTAGTTTAGTTGTTTAATTTATTCAAATCATTTAATTTCAATTGTTCACATAAAATTAGAATTCGTTAATTTTGGTACTTAATTAGTCTACAGTTTTTGTGGGACAACACTTTATTATTTTCATCATTATATTACTTGAATTGACTAGTACACTTGCTAGAGTGGAATTAGCTCATTAAGTTTTTGAAGTTGTTGCTGGGGACTGTATTGATTCTAATTAATATCAAGCAGATTAATTCTAGTTTTAATGTGGATTTTTTTTATTGTTTAGCAGGTGTGCAAGTTAGTGCATGACTTATTCTAAAAACATAGAACTTGCACCTTTTGATCCTAAGATTGAGCACACTTTTCATCAATTGAAAAATCAGAGGACAACACTAGTTGTTAAGCAAATTGACACCATGGCTAAAGATCTAGTAGCAAATCAAGCTATTCGAACATTGAAGGAATATGCTTCACCTTCAATTGAAGGGACTGCTTCAAGCATAAGGAGACTAGCTATCTAAGCAAATAACTTTGAAATTAAGCCAGCAACAATTCAAATGATTCAACAATCTGTGCAATTTTGTGGGCTACCAAGTGATGATCCTAATGCTAATATCGCTAACTTTTTAGAAATTTGTGACACTTTTAAGTATAATGGAGTTTTTGATGATGCTGTTAGACTAAAGCTGTTTCCATTCTCTCTGCAAGATAAGGCAAAGAATTGGTTGAATTCTTTACCTGTTGGGTCGATCACCACATGGGATATGATGGCTCAAAAATTTTTAAGTTTGTTTTTCCTTCCTACTAAAATTGCTAAGATGCGTAACGATATTGCCATTTTTGTGTAGTTAGATATGGAGTCATTATATGAGGCGTGGGAGAGATACAAAGAGCTACTCAGGAAGTGTCCACATCATGGCCTCCCTATGTGGTTACAGGTATACACTTTTTATAATGGTTTATTTACTAATAATTGTGCCATGATTGATGCAACTGCCAAAGGATCATTAATGAGTAAAAATGCTGATGAGGATTATAACCTCATAGAGGAGATGGCTTCAAATAGTTATCAATGGGGTTCGAAAAGATCACACATTAGGAAAAATGCTGGAATTCATGAGGTTGATGCCTTTACTGCTTTGATAGCACAAATTGAGGCTTAACTAGGATGAATGTTTCAACTATACAAGCCACAAGCATTAATTGTGACTTGTGTGGGGGAGCACATCCTAGTTCTGAATGTCTAGAAGGTAATTCTTTTGTTTCTTCATCTGAACATGCTAATTTTGTTGGTTTTAATAAGTAGCAAAATAATCCATGCTCCAATACATATAATCCGGGATGGAAAATTCATCCAAATTTTTCCTGGAGTAACAACCAAAATATAGTAAAACAGCCTCCAAGATTTTTGTAACCACCTGAAAAAAATCAAATTTGGAGGATTTGTTGAAAAAGTTCATTGCTGCTAATGAATCAAGGTTTCAAAGTCAAG